TCGTATTTATAAATTGTTATTATATTAGAATTAAACTATTTGTGAATCCAACTCAACGAGTGCGTGACCCGTGTGATTCACAGGCTGTATTTATTTGAAAAATATTATATTTTTAGATGTATAAACAAATAAAAGAGTTATAATAGGTAGGCTAATTGTACAATAATCTAATGTTTGACAAAACAAAAATCATATATTATTAAAGACCTCCTAGTACACAACATTCTTAGTTTGATCATTGGGCAACTCATCCTTCTCACAAACTAATATCTTCGACCCCCTTTTATTATTTCTCAGTAACTTTAAAGTGAAGGACGAACGCAGTTTTCTTGATGGATTCAATGTCGGGATATTTATAATTTATATTTGTGCAAGAAAAGAGACTGTAATTAATCAAATTCTTATTAAGAATTTTGATTTGGAAAATACTCTTTATATTTTGAAATATAGTCTACCTAGAAATATGCAATTTAAACACTTGAAAAAAAAAAATAAAGATTATCTCTATTTCAAAAATAAGAAGCTCTGTTTTGAAAAATATATATCATTAAGAATTCAAATTTTAATTTTCAGAATCCAAACTAACTAGGTTGGATGTCAACCTATGTAGGATCCATCTTGAATTATATGCAATGTTTCATCCTGTTCGATTTTATGGGAAATAAATCATACGAAAAAATTTTAATTTATAAAGGTTCAATTCAAAATTGAATCCAAATTTATAGGAAACAAATCATACGGGAATGGATTTTGACTTTTAAATATTGTAAATTCAAATATGACTCTATCGACCCAAAAGGTAATTAAAAATCTATTGCAATTAGGAAAAAATCAGATTTAATAGATAATAAATTTGATTTTATGGTTACCTAATGATAAGGAATTTTATAATTTACATTTGAAATTCGAAATGATACATGTTGTATGCAATAAGATCTTTTCGAATAAATAATGATAAGAAATTTGAATTCTACAAAATCGTGAAACAACCCAAAATTACCTAAATAAAATCCCGAAATTCCATCAATTTAGGGTATATTTAGGCCTGACCGATTTTTTTGGCAATAAATTAAAAGAAAAAAATTTCCAAAAATAGAATGTAATAAATGTTGGTTGACTTTTCTTGTTACTATTTTTGGCAAATAGGTTGTCTCTTTATATATATACTAGTACGAATCCCGTGCGATGCACGGATAAGAAATATTAATTAATATTTATAAATTAAAAATTCTCATTAAATAATATTTATAAATTAAAAACATGGAATTACTATGTAATACAATGTACCAAATTACATAAAAATGTCTATTTAAAATTAGTATACATCCCGTGCATTGCACGTAATTGATAATAAATTACATTATATCATTTCAAAATACGTGTCATTTCAAAAATTTTATTCAGAAACTCGATTTGACTATAATGCGATTCCATAAATAATTATTTTGGTAAATTTTATCTTATATTTAAAAACTTGTGTGAATAATAAGTATAAATATAAAAATTATATTGTTTAATTAATTAAAATAATTTTTTTTGTAAAAAGTATCAAAATAAAAAAAAATTAAGTAATTGAGTAAAAGCAATCGATCATAAGATTTTTTATGCCAAAAAAATCGACACTCTTTATCATGCTAAAAAAATGAATAGTGCATTTCACACAAAAATTAGTTTAAATGTCGTAACAAAAAATAAATTAAATCGAGACCCACTAATTATAAAAAAAAAAATTAACCAGAGATTTTTCTAACAAAATATCAATACACGCACATTACATCAAAATATCAGTTCATATTATTTTGTCAGAGTTACGGTAATTTTATTATGTTAATTTTATATGAAAAATTGAAATAAAAATTGAAACTCATGCCTAAAAACTAATTTATTAGCCTGCTATGACTTAATTACTTCCTTAAATATTGAGCCGCAATTATCATATGTAATCATTTAAAATATACCATAAATTGTTGAATTAATTTCCCGAAATAGTAAATAATTTTTTTTTGAAAGGAAATAGTTACTATTTAAAAAATTAATCAAACCTTTATATATATATATATATATATATATATATATATGTATGTATATGGTTGGGTTCAAGTTAGAATGGTGCTCAATGAAAGAAATAAGAATGAATGGTAGCCATAAGATCGGATGATCTAACGATCCTAAAAAATACACCATTTATGAATTCATTAAGGATAATTTAGACATTATACAATTACATTAAGTGGGACCCACAACCAATAAACCCCACCTCCCCTATCTATCTTTCTCTCTCAAACACACACGCACGCACCACACGCACACACAGAGACCAAACACACACACACACGCACAATCTTCTCTCTCTCTCTCTCTCTCTCCCACACACACACACAAACACACGTACACCTAAACACATGCACACAGACCAAACACACACACACACACACACACACGCACAGCTCGATCGGTCCATTGCTCCGACCACCATCAAAGTCTAGCCGCAGCATGGTTCTGTTCCGTCGCCGCTCGCCGCCACCAGAGGACCAGCCGTAGCTCCGCCGCCCTAGAACCAGCCGCTGGACTCGCCATTAACTCGACGAGCGAGCCTTCGTCATGACACAGCCGCCGTCGTTGACATCTTCATCCCTCCTCAACCTCGCGGCCCGACAGCTCCGGTTCATCGACGTCTGCGCCGCCGACTCAACCTCCGCCAATGCCACGTTGACCTACGCCGCTGATTCTACATTAACGTCCTCCTATTAGTGCTTAATTAGCGGATTCTCGACCTCGGGTCTCCTGTACCACCGGCGCCGTCAACGTGGATATGAAAATTGCAGAATTTGGCCCCAATTGCAAAAATTGAATCGTGAATTATTAGATTTAGGGCTGATGGCATATTTTGTAAATTTGACAAATCTATGGGGCTTATGTACAATTTTAGATAACTTCATTATGTTTCAATTTTGGTCAAGGGGCAACTATGTAATTTAAAGAAAATTTAACAAATACATAATTATTATAGATAAATTGCACATTATGTAGTATGAGAAATGAAAATTAAAATATACAACTTTGATTGAAATTAAAACAAGTAACAGAACCAAACAAATTATATAAAAAATATTATTTTTATATTATATATATATTATTTATTTTCAACAAATGATAATATAAGATATAAATAAAAAAAATATAAATACTAAATATATTTTATAAAAAAACATTTGCAATTTGATTGCACATTATTGTTATACGAATTGGACATTATTGACTATCTGATTGCATTATAGCCACAGAGACGGTCCGACAAATTTTTGGGGTTCGAATTTTATATATTGGTTTGAGTATATATTTGTGCTTTTAAAATTGCGAGTATCTCGGGTCAATGTCAGTTTTCTTTTTTAAAATCATCGAACCGACAGACTATATATAAAAAAATAGTATTTTGTTTTACAACCGAAAATGATATAAGATATTAAATAAATACATTAAAATACTAAATATATTTTGGATTTAGTTTGGTTTGAGACAATTTATTAAAAAAATATATGCACTCCAAGTGCACCTTACCGTTATATGAATTGCACATTAATGTCTACCAGGACTCAATTGCAATTTCGTGACTTTTAATAAATTCTAATTTAGTTCATGGGTCAATTCTAATTTATCCAAACTTTGATAACAATACAATAATGTTAATTGAATTGCACAAAATCACATTTGAAATTGCACAGAAACAAATATATATATATATATACTCGCACTGCATAAACTATTTTTTTTTGTTCGAATTTATATGTTTCAATTACATTATTTGATATTACTTTCAATTAAATTATTTATGTTTAATGTTCGATTTATATTTTTATATAAAAAATAATATCAATTTCAGCAAAAACAAAAAATATAGAATATAAATAAAATATTAAAAATACTAAATATACTTTTTATTTTAAATAATAGTTTATTTCAGTTACTTTGGTTATTCTATTCAATTTTAATTTTGTTTGATACAAGATTTGACCGATTCAGACTGCACAATATCAACAGAAACCGTGCACACTATAGATTACTAATTGCACATTAACTTTTGTCAGACTGCACAACAACGGCTAAGCTAGAAACTCAGGTTCAAAAAAACCAGTTAAACACATCAACGATTATTGGGCTCACACACTAGCTTGCTGACATGGGCTGTCACGGGCTTATTGTTCCTTCTCCCAGCCTGCCTTGTAAATGGGGTAGTTTCAATGCATCGTGTGCACACCGCTTTCGGCCGATTTTCGCGTTTTCGACTTCAATAATTATTTCGATCTCATTTCCTGCTAAACTCAAAATAACACACTTCATCACAGCTTAACAAAACTAATTAAATAAATAATTAATTAAATAATAATT